TACTGCCCCAAAAGCGATTGTTCCATCATCCTCCTTGGATGGAGTTCATAAATGCTCGGCAAATAGTAGGTAGAATCAATAAGTCTTTGGAGAAATCAATTAATATCTCGATATTTGAGGGATAAGAGAAAAAAAAGGAAGAAGAGCTTAGAAAAATGGGGGGTGACTAGCAACCCTATTCACCCCCCCTAGATCCGCCCCTGAACTTATTATTGATTATTTATTGTTCTTCAATTTCAGAACGGGCATCTGAGGCACTGTCCACACAAGCCCACGGCCGGATTTTGGATCAGCGAATACTTTACAGCGAATACAGCTATCGCCCACTGACATGTATTGGGACGAAAGTCTCTGGACTGGTGTAGACCAAACTGAAACAATAACACTTCAAATTCTCTGTCTACTATTCCTGTCAAATCYTTTTATCAACCTAAGTAGAGTGATCGCACTTAATCCGTGCAACTGTACAAGATAAATAGCTCTATTTAGTTGTATTTAGTAAATCGATCATGCGGTAGAGTGATCGTACATAAACCGTGCAACTGTAGAAACTAAATAGTGCAATTTAGTTTTATTTAGTAAATCGTGCATGCTACACGCAAATAACACAAATTACTACAAAAAAGCGTTGATCAGTAGGGTGATCGAACTTTAAACCGTGCAACTATACAAAATCTAAGTAGTACTAATTTGTACTAAAAGTGGACCTGAAGCAAGGGGGTATTGAATGCTTCATTTGTATCAATTCAATTTAATTTTGCGTATCGCATGCACGATTTACAAAATACAACTAGATAGCACTATTTAGTTTGTACAAGTGCGATCACTCTAAACAATAGAAAACAAAAGATTTAGCATTAATTTAGTATTATTTTGCACCATTCAAAGTTTCAATGATTAAGTGTATTCCGTGACTCTAGTGTTATTAACTTCGCACTGATAAACAGTGAACAGTCAATGAACAGTGAACAGTGAACAGTGTGAATCGTGACATCATGTCATGTGTCTAAACGCTTTTATCCTCACTAAATCTTTACTGACTTTTTCTATTAACTTGGTTGTTATGTCATTGGACTTTGAAACAACTATAAGCTCACGCAACTAAACTGGAGAAGCAACATTAGAGAAATCACTTCAAGTTCGCAACTCATTCCAAGAAGTTAGAGAGAGATTGCACAGCGGACTTTTTCCCGGGATTTCAAAGTCTATCAGGTGACCTTAATCAGATCACTGGATCGGATAGCTATCTCATGAATGATTTATGAGTCTTAGATGACGTTTCATCAAGTTCATCTTCTAAAACAACAACTTACTTTGATTCTAAGTTCCATTGTCTTTTCTCTGAAATTTTGTAGTGTTCCAAGTTTGCGAAATTTTTCACACTTTCTCTCGTTTGTGAAAAGGAAGATTTTGTGTTGATTTGGAGTTTCCTTTATGACGTCATTGCCTCGAGCGCGTGTGTAAAACCGCTGACAAAGACTAAAAGATTCGCCGTCAATTTCTTACATCATAATTTTGCWATGGATTGCATGTAATTGAAAAAATTCAGACGACACGATCGATTATTCGATTTGAACTTAAAATCGATTTGAACAATATTATMAAAATATATATAATGTTTAGATTTAGAGTTTGCGCGCGCATCTAAAAGAATCTAGACCCTTCCCCAGTCTCCTGCCCTGTTTTCGGTCCAGCTTCTCACGGTAGAATCTTTGCAAGGCATTGTAGGACCAGAATTTCTTATCCATGATCATGCATGGTTAAGAGAGCCCATGGAAACTCTTTTTTACACGCTGCACTATTAAGGAACTGAACCAACCATTACGTTGCCCGGCTATAAATAGACACCAGGCGGCGATTCCCAGGGGCCAAGTTGAACCTATTGTGATGGTCAATCATTCCTCCCGTGGGGGCCTGACGCAGGGCGCCCTGCCCTGCCCTGCCTACAGTAAATATGTCCGACTGAAAGACCTGAAATATTCGGAAAAAATTATTTTTAACCTCAACATGTAGTCAAAAAGCTCTTTCTGTATCTGTTGACTTATAAGGTCTTATAAACTCATCGTGATAAATTCTAGAACTTTATTTATCAAATTACTCTCATTCGCCTGATTATAGTTTTGCGACTTAACCGCTAAGCTTGCTAAGTTTTTCTTCATTTCTTTATCAATTTTATACGGATTCATCCTCTTCAATTATAGTAACATTCCCTATAGTGATATTTAATAACTATTTGATATCAATATTAATCCATTTGTAAACTTTTATATCATCAAGAACGAAACTGTAGGTTCGAGTGTAGTAATGTTGAAGCTTCAGAGGTTTTCTATTGCGTTCCTTTGAATCGTGTCAAATCCTTGGCAACAGTATCTGCCTGGGTCTGTAAACCACTTACATTAAGAATTTCAAGAGAGTTTTGTCGTTCTGTTTATCCGAATACTGGTAAAGTCTGTCTGATAGAAGAACTGTACACCTATTCCTGTGACGATTTGGATAACAATAACGACAGTTGAACAGCTCGGTGAAAGGCGTCACAGTTCATCAAGTACATCAGTATTCGGCCACAAACCAGCACTCAGCACCCGTCCCCACCCCCATCAAATAATAAATCAACTTAATTGATTATGCAAACTCTGAACGTTTGCTAATTCCAGAGCTGAGCTCTTATTGGCTCGCTGCTCCCTAAGGAATTTGGTGACGTCATATATTAGCATAGAACTTCGCCGAATAGACTACCCCGATTAGGTATTAGATATCTATAAGTGTCTTCATAGTACGATGGTCTAAGAGGGTAGCTAAAGGTRTGCTCTAGTGGGCGGCTACCCCCTCACTCCCTGGCCTTTTGGTTAAGACTAAGTTTTATGTTCACTCGGGATAGCGTGGAAGAGCCGAAATCTCTAACCGTAACGTAAGCCGATTCGACGCCTCAGCTTCATAGAATGTCTCGGGGGAATCGTCCCAACTTTTTAGTTTTTTTATTTTCATTATTTCTTATGTTTGTCAGGGGGGGTTACATCTCATCATGAAGTGAAAGTTATGAGTTCGAGTCCTGATTCTGTGATTTCTCTTTTTTGCTTGTTTAATGTTTCTTTATCGTTTGCTTCTCCTTTTCTTTTCTCCTTTCTTTTTTCCTTTTCTTTTAATCTTTTTCATTGCTGTTTTATTGATTTGTTTGTTTTTCTCTGGAGATTTTTTCTCTTTTTAACTTTTAAGTTTTAAAAACATATTAAGGCCCCGCAAGGAACGCCTGCTACAAGTGGATGGTCAGGGTACGATGACTGTAAAAGRGAGGCCCCATAAAGGTCACAAAAAATCTCGCTAATAATAATAAAGCAAATATCTACAGGAAAAATAGACATGACTAGAACAACTTTATTTCACCAGGAGCCGGTTCACTTACAAAGAAAGAAATGATAATAATAATAAAAGAAAAAAGAAAAAGAAAAAACAATTTTTTACACGTGCTCGAGCCGAGGATCTTGAGTTTGCTAAAACTGCGACGTGGAAAAAAATAAATAAATAAAAATAAAGTCGCCGCATTATAAGACCGTGCCGCCGGCGTCGCCGCAGGCCTTCTCCATGTTTGCCGCGAGAGACTGGTAAGCGTCACGCATTACGCATCACGAAATACCAATTCTAATCTGAAAAGTTATAAATCATGTGACATCAGCCAGGAAAGAAAAAGTAGTTTTTTAATAATTAGAGGAAATAGAATTCAATAATATACCTGGCATCAACAATGGACGAAGAGGAAGAAGTTTTGGTACGTCGAGTTTCAAGGTCTAAATGTACTTTATCTTGTCGACATTTGCTTGCTTTGCTGAGTTCTTTGGGATTTTGTGTCGTCTATGCTTTACGAGTCAATCTCAGTGTAGCTTTGGTAGCAATGGTAAACTCCACGTACGAAAATTCAAATTCAAACRCACARAATCGTGAGTGCCCTGGAGGTATGGACGATGAGAGCTCGCATACGGTAAGATCTACATTGATTTAGCTTAAGAAGTTAATTTCAACGTTTTAAAACTAGGAATAACAAGAAATACTCTAAACTTTTTGTCTGTTTTGGGTTAGTCATTTATATACGAATGCAGGTATTCTTAAATTAAGGTTTTGAGCTTATATAGATAAGATCCCAACGATGAGTTAACGACTGAATGAAATATTTTACATGTTGTGAAATGGTCACCGCCGCCATGTTGGATGATGATAACAAAGAAAARCTCACAATTTAGTGTCACTTTTCACCCCTTCCCCTCCCCCCACAAAGTCAAATAGGCACCCATCAAAGGGATATGACCAAACACATACCCTTATTTGATTTTGTTTCTGATTAAAAATAACAATACTAATATATAATATATATATAATTACTCTTTATCCCTTTACAATCTCTGAAATATGGAGATACTTGAAAAATGTATGCCTAGTTTCTCATSGTATAATTATCCCTTATTTACCATGGTTAGCATCACTGAATCATCAAAACTGTTATTCATCCAYAAGGTGAAGTTGATAGAAGAAGATACAATTCTGGCTGCAATATAGAAAATATTACATGAACGTGTAGAGATACTTAGATTTTATCTTTAAGTGTCAAAAAGATAATAATATAATAACTTATATATAATAATATATAATATATACAGCCTTTTGCAAAAATTATGAGCATTGTTGAAATATCGAAATATCATAATATCAATTGCATGATGGATAATCCCGCGCGATTCCCTTTGTCCTTTGTCTTTGTTGTTTAGTTTTTTTCGGCGGCGACTGACTTATCCGAAGTTCTGGACATTTTCTCAATGTCAACAATGAATTATTCTAGCAAACCCGCGTGTTCGGGACAAAGGGCTGCGCGCGGGATTACCCATCATGCACTTGATATTATGATATTTAGATATTTCGACAATTCTCATAATTTTTGCAAAAGGCTGTAATAATATATAATAAGTTATAATATAATAACTTGTATCTCCGAGCAATCATTCAATTTTTGTTTATCATATTAATTATCCATGATTTCATGCAAATCTGCAAAAACCTTTTTTACCTTAAGTAATTAGAGATACGCAAATTGTGTTATTTTCACTAACAATTTTTTTTTCAAAAGAAAGAAATGTAGATATTTCATGGATTTACTTTAAAAAAAACATTATTAAAACTATCAAACAAATTATTGGTTGGCAATTTTCATACCAAAATTAAATAACTAGAAAAAAAGAAAATGTTGTTGATTGTTGTTTCATACTCTATCCAGCATTATAAAACTTATTAATAATGCATAAGCTATTGCTCCAATAATGGCTGACCATTTAATCAGGTGATTGACCTTGTAAATCTGATACAACCACAAAGTGGTTGTATCAGATTTACAACACGGTCGTCACCATTGAGACAACCCAACACTAGCAAAGGTCTCAGTTTTAGTGTCGCATCATAGACCTTCACTAGGTTTTGAAGCAATCAAAGACGGATAACAGAACTCGCTTATGCAACAGATGGCTTGCTTTCCATGTGGGATGGATAATTATTCAAAATGTTCTGTGTTGCAGTAAATTGCGCATGCTTAATAGGGACTAAACTCAGCAGTTACCTTATTTGTCATTTTTCGTCATTTATCTCACTGTAATTCATGTTAATTTGTGTTGGAGTTTTATAAGTCGTTTACAACATTCGCGTCCGTGTTGTATGGGAATTACAATCTCTCGCCTGCGGCTCGAGATTGTAATTCCCATACAACACGGCCGCTCATGTTGTAAACTATACATATCTAATACCTAATGAGGTGGCAAAATGATAAACAATTTGGCTGTCACAATAAGTGGTGCAAAATGTTTAATGATGAAGGGATGAACATTTACTTTTAATGAGTGAAAGTATAAATATCTTTTCAATGGATGGGATATAGGATATTATTACTCAAATTTGAAATTATTGTAAATCAATTTTATGAATTATTATCCTTCTGTTATTGAACATTTATTGGTATAATTGTAGGGTGGAACATTCAACTGGGACCAAAAGACTCAAGGTCTGTACAATTAGCAAGAAGCTATTCGTTTAATCCAGCCACTCTGTTTGCATTTGCGAATTTATCATCCATCTATTTATATTTATTCATTTGTTCTTCCACCAGACTCATTCTGCATTTTTCATCTATTTTAAAAGATCTGCGTATAAATTTTTCATCTAGTCTATTTCATTCATTTATCCATTCCTTTCATTCATATTTTCATTCCCACTTCCAGGTATCATTCTTGGTTCTTTTTTCTATGGTTATATTGTTACCCAAATACCAGGAGGTTGGCTGGCATCAAGAATTGGTGGTAAACATTTGTTTGGTTTGGGTGTCTTGTGTACATCCGTCTTTACSCTAATGACACCATGGGCTGCCCATCAAGGTGTTGGTACTTTAGTGGCTCTGAGGGTTTTAGAGGGACTGGGTGAGGTGAGTTCCTAATAATTGGTCATCTATACAGCCAAACATCTTTGTACTGATCGAGCCAAACATCTTTGAACTTATCAAGAGAGTTTCCAGGCATTTTCATTTGGTCTGTAATAATTCCATTTTACTATGTTCAATCAATTTTTGAAAAAGTCATCATTTTTTGTTCAAATTATAAAAATCTTTGTTGTCCATAAAAGAAAAAAAAATACAACAGAATATTACATCGCTATGCTTGTGTTTCTAAGCTTGCTTCTCTCCAGCTGTTTTTCAACTCCTACCGTGTTTACATCAGAGGACAGAGACACAAGTTTTTTTCTTAAATATTAAACAGCGGGTTACTATTTTGAGGGAAACATATTACACTTAAAAGAATGAAAAAGCTAACTACTGTAAGTGCAGTATAATATTTGGT